CCCTGTATACCATATGTGATATGCTAACATATAAATGGAATTATAAAAATACTTACTTTTGTTACTTTCTGTGTTGCTTATAGAACGAATGTTATTCTTTTTTTTTCAACAATTTGATTCGCTGGACTGGGAAATTGGAAAATTCATTGTGTTGGACCCAGTTATCATAGTTCTTCAAATATTTTAATCAACAAATCCTGAAAAAAAGCAGCTCAATGTCAATAAACCTTAAAAAGTTACCACCCAATCAACATGTTGATTTGGTACTGTATAATCATTTATAAATTAATTACGCCAAAAAAATAAAGTGCCTCTACTCCTGGTCTGGTGGCAGGTCATCAAAGGATAGAATTTAATGAATAAGCAAACGATCTACCTAGAAATGGGGCAAACTACACTAACTGAACCGTCTCAGATACTGGCTTTTGTCAAGGCCCTGAGACTGTGATGAGATATCACTCAAGAAAGGGGAACAGAATAGACCCCCCTTTCCATATATTCTGCGTATTCTACATCATCTATAAAACCAACAAATGGTGGACAATCAATAGTAAAAATGAGAAATTCAAAATTAATGAATAATAGTTAATTTTATAATCCCTTCATTGTCTACCACTTTCAGGGTTTGTCTAAGTCTCCAAGTTTTTTACCTTCCTAGAAAATTTCTAGCAAAATACCAGATCATACTTCACTGCCAAATATTTGAAAAAAATGTGTTTTTTCGCAAGAAAAAATATTAAAGATAAAAAACAGTTTTGATCTAATTACTGTGTAATGAAATTTTCAAAAAATTGGGACAATCACTGAAAAAATAGCAGATTCATTTCTCCAGCTTCATTAATATAGAAATCTCATCACAATTTATTTCTCATGAAATCGTGCAGAGAGATGCTCTTTCAATCATAGCAAAATTTCTCTTAGATTTAATTAGATTTACGGGTTGAGGTTCATCATGATTGGATCAAGAATTAGGTACCTAATTGTAGAAATATAAGAAAATATTATAAATGAACTCATTTTCATTTAAAAGAGAAGTTTTTACAAGCTACCTCACCGACTAGGAAGATGCGAACAAGATCAAGAGAATTTCAATTGTTGTCATTGCAATCAAATTGAGAATATCTGATTATATTTACTTGTTTTGATATAATAGAAAGTATTTCATCAAAATACGAGCCGAGAATTAATTGATACAAGAAAAAAATAGCACCTTTTCTTTTTATTAAGACTCCGTGATACTTTAAACCATAAAAAGATAAAGATTTTTATACCATGGTTTCTTTAAAATGCCTCAAAAATTAATCACACTACTAATTAACATCGAATTATCGTTTTTTTTTATAATCGGCGTCCGAAATCATAAAATTAGAAATTCAAATTTGATCTGTCTTTTAATCCAAAGGCCTCCAAACAACGTCTCGCGTTATCCCTGAATATTAAACAATGTATCATTTACATTTTATTGCATTCGTGTTTATCGTGAACAATTAAATTTATAGTATGGTTAGGTGCAGTTTATAACCGTGTATTCAAATCAAAATTTTTATTAATATGCTAGCTGAACATGCAGACCGTCCAAATTTGAATAAATCCGTCTGTGAATGTTTTGGGAATTTGTGAAAAGCTGTCAAAAATGTGAGGATAAATTTACATAGCAAAAAAGAGTATTTTAAAGTTGTTAGGTGTGTCACAAATGTCACAAAGCAATGTATTTATGCATGCTGTTTTATCATATATTCTTAAGCTAGATTTTCATTCGTCCGTTATCCCTTGATACGATGCGCGATGGTCCAACGGCGCTCTGATTGGTCATAGCGTTTTCGCACCACTTTTCATCCGTATTTTTTTTTACTTCAGCCCGTCAACGAAGAAAGTTAAAATAAATTTAACTTTTCGTACGATAACAGACGTTTTTGAGAGTTTTTTTGACAAATTTAATCTGACCTTAATAAAAATATAATAGTACGACAGCTCGCAAAGTCTGGAAAACGAGAATTCTAAGAAAGTTGGTTCTTTAATATATCTTTTGCTATGCTCTCCTGAAAAAAGTGCGGGCCGTCTGGCTGCTGCTTGACTACTTACCGCTTCACTACTGCGCATCAATCTATGTGTAGCATATTTAGTTTCATAAAAAAGTAGCAAAGTAATGTAAAAACCGCATCATTGTATCTCTACTTATAAACGAGAAATCCTCTAAAACCCATAAAACATAAAACACTTGTGATGCACAGTAGTAAACGCAACTGCCGCCAGACGGCCCGCACTCTGTTCCGGAGAGCATAGCAAAAGATATATTAAAGAACCAGCTTTCTTAAAATTCTCTCTCAAAAACGTTGCTAGCTCTTAAACTATAAGTTTGATCCCTCACTCGGAGGCCTTGGGCCCATTGCGATACCCCTGTATTATTGTACCAAACCTTCCTCTCATTCTTTCTTTGCGTTAAAGCACTTCCAGCTCTTTGCAAAGTTCCCGATGCCGCTGATGGTGGCTTCTGCTACTTCCTCTAGTCCCTCCAAAAAACCTTGCCCTAAAATTTTAAGGCGTCGGTATTCCAGTTCCAGACAGTGGCATCGTTGGAAATAACCATCTCACGAGGTTTACCCCCGTGGGGCAGTTTCCAGTGACGATACCTACAATTATGCGTATTAGGTCCTTTTTGTGCTCTAGTAGTTGTTTTGTCTTTTTGCTATCTACCACTGGCGGTCATAGTCTTCGAGCTGTAGCGCAGTCCTCACGGTGTTGCCACGTCTCTTATTGCTTGGCCTTGATGGCAGTTCCTATAGCTTCCTTCAGTGTGTTGATCGTCACAAGTGCTGGGTCATCTGCCACGGCCTGGCCCCGTCTTTGGCGAGTCTGTCTGCTTCCTGATTGCCCACCACATTGCTGTGGCCTGGCACCCAGCACAGAGTAGCCCCACCCTGATCCATCCAGGACAGTGCTTTTCAGCATTCCATCACAGTTTTAGATCTCACTGATTGCATAGTGACGCTTCTTAAAGCGCCCAAGCTGTCAGAGTATATTACGATATCTTCGTTCTGGTCTTGCAGAGATGTGGACTTGTGTTCACCATGATTTTCCCTATCACTGGCAATATCCTCGAGTGACCGTAGTTGGTCTGGTTCCACAGATTGGATTCCCTTAATCTTAGGGCACCCTTAGCGGCCAGATCCTTCACGAGCCAGTCGATTGATTGTAAGTCCAGAATTGCTTCTAGCGCAGCTTGCGCTGTGTTGTTCCTTGCTCCAGTTATACCTAGAGCTGCTAATCGCTGTACTTTTGTGAGACTTTTTCTATTAGTCTCTTTAAGTACCGCTTCCCACCATGCTAGGGCTCCATAAGTGATGATTGGTCTAACTATAGCAGTGTACATCCAGTGTATAATGTACGGTTGCAGACCCCATCTCTTTGGAGGTATGAAAATGCTATAAATTTAAAAACTGCATAATTTTCTAACCAATCGAAGTCATTAAATTCAACCAATAAAATTAATGTCGTATCATCGTATCGTCGGATAACGGATGCATGAAAATCAAGCTTTATACGTATAACAAAGATAAAGACATTTAAAATATTTATATTAACATAAACCAAACAAAATAATAGCTACTTTAAACTAAACCAACAAGTTAGAAGGTAGGTAGGTATGACATTCTTTTAAAATATTTCTACGCAAATTCCTCAGAAATGAGCCGTTGACAAGTGAAAATCCTAGAGCGAAATTTATTATGACTGGTCACACCACCTAACACAATTTTTAGTCGGTTCGAATTTACAATTCAAAATAACATTATAATGAAAGATTTATTGCCCCCTGTATTATCCTAATCTGTTATTATTGATGTTCTAATAAATCTGTATGACTTTTTATTTTCAGTCGGTCCGCGGCCGTGACCAATTTTTTTCTTCTCTTAGTTTCTATCGTGCATGTATGAGATGCCAAAGATGAAGTATGATAAATTGCGAGGTCACGTCGACAAAAATTCTTTAAGAACATAATAGACAACTTACACGCAAGGAACTTTAGATAAATATTGTGGTAAAATCAGTTTTTTGGCAAAGTATTTTAAATTGAATAAGGTAAACTAGCCAATTACCGACCGCTTAAGCAGATGTTGCAACTTTATTTCAGTACTGTCTTTTTAAAGTTAGTAGTAGTTTTGTGACTAACACATAAAATTAAGTACTTATTAGTGAATTGTTTATATACATATCTAAAAAAGTAGTTTCTATCAAATTTTAACAACATTAAAGACACGCACAAATATCTAATTAGGCCTTCAGACCGTTCAAACTACCTACAAGAAGCTACTTCACTTTGAAATCCTGTTTAAATTAGCAAAAAAGTGAAAGCAGAAAATGTTCCGCAGGTCGACGGTTCTGGACGGCTGCTGACCGTAAACAAAGCAAAAATGAATACAAATAACGTTCTAATATCGTCGAACTTTGAAAGACGATTAACAAGAATGAAAAGAGATATTTTTTGCAATCGTCAGTTCAGTTATTAATGAAATTCGATGAAATAACTGCATGTAAAACATACCAGGATGTCTGGGTCTCTAAAATTTATTCTATTATTAACAGGAGGAGTCATTTTTTTTCTATGAAGTGAGTCGTGGATTAATTAACCTTGCTCGAAAGTTACCATTGTGGCAATGATTTTGATGATAGACGTCATTGTAATAAGGTAAATAACCCCAAATGTCAAGGAAAATAATATTAAAATAGTATAAGTATAGTATTCATAAAAATAAATACAATGAGTAGCAATTATGAAGAATTAGATAGTGAATCCAATAACGATATTAAAAAATAGATATTCTATCTGAATAAATTGATTTTTTTAATCTAATTTTTAGTATGTTTTAAAAATAATTTCCAGCTTATTCAACATTTTCAATTGTGGTGTAGCCTCCATCGGCTCCATCGCATATTTAGATAATGTCTTTGTAATTGTACCCATTTTAGTACCCTTTGTAATTGTACCCAGTTATACCTGATAATTTCCTAATACCATGGTCACATTTTATGTTTGGTTTTCTTCTAGAGCTCTTAATTTCTCGTGGGTGTCATACTGTAATTTTTGTAGTTCATCTATTATCAGTCCTTCTTTCCACTTGAGGGATTATATTCTGTGGCTACCTAAAAAAATATTAAAAAAATTAAAATATTATCTCTTCGATTTACATAAATTCTATATTTTTAGTTGATATATTCTTACAATTTCTTTTTTTTTCAGGGCACAGCACAGATGCTTTTGAACTGGTAAGTTAAAAATAGAAAATAGAACATATTATGCCGGGTCCAGACCAAGGCGGCAAAAAGTAAACACGATTTTGAGACAAAAACAAGACAAACTTGAGACAAAAAATGAGGAATTCAGACAAGACAAACTTGAGGCAAATTGTCCACACCGCAAGGAGTCAAAAGTTTAGTTGTTGCGAATGAGGTTTATTAACCATATGTGATTTCATTGGTCTCCTACTACTGGCAGCACACGCCATACCACACTGCACCGGCAACTTGTCGTCAAATATACGAACAAAACATAGACACTTTGATCTTTACCGACTCTAGACGGGACATTGAAAAGTGTCCGAATTTTGAAACAAAACAAAAATGAGACAAAAATGTCGCAGAAATGTATTGGATTTGTCGCAATTTTGTCGTAAAACATGAATGTTTCTGTCTTGTCGTTCTTTTGTCTGCTTGGTCTGGACCCGGCATTAGAAGTAAATACCGTATAATCGAAAAAAACTAGACACATTTATTAAAAAACTTGTCAAAATTAACACTAATTATAGAAAAATTAAAAAATAGATACAGGGTGGTCCGAACTGTATTCCGGAAACTTCAGCAGCATATTCTGGAAATAAAAATAAGTTAAAAAGTTCGTATAAATGTATGTCCTAAAATGCTTAGTTTCGGAGATACAGGGTGTAGAAGTTTCATTTTTTCCAAATAATTTCTAAAGTAACGTCAATATTTGGATGAAAAATGGTGTCTGGGAGTTTTTTGACATGAGAAATTTGATTTTGATGTCAATATGACTCCCTACTTGTGAAGGGCGCCACCTACATATTTTTTAACTGGTGCTTGAAGAGTAATAACTTTTCGTCGGTACTTATATAAAACTACTAGGTGAAAAAATATACATTTACGACGTTTTTACGTAAAAAGATCTCTTGGTAAAAATCGCTACGAGTAATGGTTCTCGAGATATTTGGAATCGAAATTATCAATACCTGTCATTAACGTAAATTAAACAGGGTTGGAAAAATCATGATTTTTTAAAAAATCATATTTTTTGACTTAAATCGATTTTTTTTATTTAAATCAGATTTTTTTGATTTTAATTCAAAACAGTATTTAAATCGGATTTCCAAATGACTAGGACTTATTTCCAATTAAAGTCCTATCCTAAATGGCTAAATCTTTATAACCCTCTACGGCGTGTGTCATTTTTCCACATCACCAATATATTCCGCAAAAAAAATAGCTTTACGATGGTCCTTCAAATGTTCAGCATCGTCAAAAAAAGTATAATTTCTACTCTTATTAAAACAATACACTATGATTCGGAAATAGTCTTTAGTCGAAAATGAAATTAGTATTATCTAATGTCAAAGTGTAAAAAGTACCGTATGATCGAGAAAAAAACGGCGTCAACGATGGCTATGAAAATGAAGATCGCTGTCATTTTTATGTAAATTTATATGGGAAATGTCACTGATCGTCATTTCCCCAGCCAACTAGACGCCGCGCCGTTTTTTTTCGATCATCGAAACATATCAACGTTTCAAAAAAAAATAAAAAACAACATATTTTTTGACAACGATTATAGATTTTCGAATGTAGTTTTAATAACCTTTGATATTGTCTATATCAGAAGAACCTAGTTCTGCACTAGTCTGAACAATTTCTAAAAAATATTTTTTCTTGAATTTTAAATTGCAACATTTTTACTCAATATAAAAATAATTACATCCTTCTTAAGGCCAACAGGTAGTAAGCGCGTTATTAAAAAGCCGTTTTGACGACGTTTTTTTTCGATCGTATGGTAGGTATTTTACTAAGATCGGGAAATATGGAACACCTTGTATAATGATAAATATATCAGTAAAACGTGTGAAAATATTTTCCAATAAATTTCCCTTTTAATTACATATCTATCTATTTTCGTCCGAATAAATTATTATTTGACATGGCACACTGCTACCGACTTGACTGCATCTGGTCTTTTTTTCACAAAAAAACAGTCGCAATGCAATCATTGCCGACAACTATAATGGTCGCCATAAATCTTAATTAAATGTGAAATTTTAAATTTATCACACAATACGTTGTGTCGCTCGTTAAAGCTTGCCCGGCTACTGACTATATAATTTATAGGTAAAATGTTCTGCGGTTTCTACGACCAGTCTCAATTTCTTTTCCCCTTTGTATTTCTCGATTTGCTCGTTTTATATTTATGAGAAATTCTCGTCGATTAAGTAATAGAATTTAATACTGTTTATTTTTAATTATTGTGTTTATATAAAATATACGAGGTGTCTTATATAAAATATAATGTGTGACATTAATGATAGTTTAGAATATACGCTATAGGGTGTCCCAGAAATGAGTGCAGATATATTTTAAGGGGTGGTAGATCTGGTCAAAATAAACATATTTTCTCTTTACCATTTTTAAAATAAATTGAAAATAACCGAGTTATTTAACTTTGAAAATTTAAAAAAATAATCGCAACGTTTTGAGAACCGCCGGCAGATATCGCCAACTACATCCAATTGCCCGGATCAAGCCCGAATTTCAGTTAATTCGACGCACTGTGTTGCCATAGGGACAAGAAAGTGTATGTTAAAAGTAAGTCATAAAATCACAACACCTGACGAGTTTGCAGAGATTCATTACATTTTTAAGATTGTGATATTATTACATAAAATAAATTAAAAGTTAAATGTTTAATAATGTGTTAAAAAATGTGTTAAAAAAGTTAAATTAAAAAACTTACCCAACATTAAAAAAGATACTTATGACAGATTGTAACTGTGACAATTCTCTTTTTCGATATACACTTAACTAAAATACACTTCACTGTGCTGCTTTACTTGTACATGCTGTAGTTATTATAATAACTACTAAAATAACAGTGTCCCCATTTTTAACACATTATTTTCATATAGGCCTCATCACAATTTGAATCACTGATTTACAAAACACCTTGAAAAGCACACATTACTTTGAATACCTTTCTGAATGAATAAATGTTGAGAATTATTGTATCTTACCGCCACTTTCCGAACTACTTTCAATCTAAGAAAATACATGTTTCACTCAACAATTTTAAATACGTATTTTCGCTATTTTTTCTATGTATTTCAGCAATTCCATCGACAGCCCAATCGTAGCGTCGGCCACCGGCCAAGAGAGCGGCGCATCACTGGTAACTGCTCCTTTGTCGCGCCGCCGTGTCGAGCTTGCGTCATGCGAGGTTGCCGTAGTTTCAACAATTTCAAATTCAATACACTCGATGCAATCAAATTCTTATTAAATTTTAAAAATAAAACAGAAAAACATGAAAGGAAACAAACAAAACACAAATGAATTGGTTACTGATAGGGTCACAAAAAAGAAATTTCTAAAATGTTTATCGTAATTCAGAATTCAATACATCAAAAACAGCCCGACGAATAATCAATTCATTTTTGTTTTGTTTATTTCCTTTCATGTTTCTCTGTTTTATTTTTAAAATTTAATACGAATTTGATTGCTTCGAATGTCTTGAATTTGAAATTGTTGTAACTAGGCAACGTTGCTTAACATCATCGTCTGACGCAAGCCCGCCACGACGGCGCGGCGACCGGCGACTCAAATTCACACGCGGCGGTTCTTGGCTGACGGTTAGGCCAGAGAAGAACGACCGGTTAGGCTGTCGATGGAATTGTCGAAATACATCGAAAAAATAGCGAAAAAATAAAATACGTTGTCAATAATTGTTGAGTGAAACATGTATTTTCTTAGATTGAAAGTAGTTCGTAATGTGGCGATAAGAGACAATAATTCTCAACATTTATTCATTCAGAAAGGTATTCAAAGTAATGTACGCTTTTCAAGGTGTTTTGTAAAACAGTGGTTCAAATAAAACAGGGAAACATGAAAAAAAAACAAACAAAACAAAAATGAATCGATTATTCGTTGGGCTGTTTTCTAAATTTCTTGAATTGAATTTTAAATTACGATAAACATTTTAGGAATTTCTTTTTGTGACCTGATTGTGAATAATATGAATCATTTTATTAAATTTATTCCAAAATAAAGTTATTTTGCAGCATAACAAAGATTTTCGTAAACGTCATAAATGTAATGTTTTAGTTAATATTCGGTGGTTTTTGTTAAGTTTTCATTGAAAGGGTAAGTACTAAAAATAATTAATGTGTTTTTTTTCTATCATTATTGATAATGAGCACTGATAAAAGATTAAATTTAACATTCCTAACTAATTTTTTGAGTAGAAATTTGTCTATGAATTTATAAATGTAGAACTATGTTCCGCCGAACTGTGTAGAATGTCGATAACATAGGAGGTTGCAACACTGCAAGGTTTAGATACACCGTAGGGAAATCTCAGGTGAATAAACAAGTGGCACTAAAAAGTTTTTTCAAATTTCCGGGAAAATGTCAAGAAAAATTTTAAATCTTCAACATTTTTTTTTCGCAAAAAAAACCTCATAGGCGTGTTTCTGGGGTTGAACTATACTACCAGTTAAAATATTTGCACTTATTTCTGGGACACCCTTATATATTCTATATACAGGGTGGTCCGAACTGTATTCCGGAAACTTTGGCAGCATATTCTGCAGATAAAAATAAATAAAAAGTTCGTATAAATGTATGTCATAAAATGCTTAGTTTCGGAGATACAGGGTGTAGAAGTTTCATTTTTATTTCGATTTTTTGCAAATAATTTCTGAAGTAACGTAAATATTTAGATGAAAATTGGTGTCTGGGAGTTTTTTGACATGAGAAATTTGATTTTGATGTCAATATGACTCCTATTTGTAGGGGGCGCCACCTACATGTGTTTTAACTGGTTTTAAGAGTAATAACAAAGAATATCTTAATACCCTAGAAGTCTCGTCTGGCATCAAAATCTGACCTGTCGATGGGGCCTCGCTTTGGCGAGCGAGGCCCCAACTTCGTGGAGCCTCGCTATTTTGCTCGGAATTGAACGAATAGACGCGCGGCGTTGCCTTGTTTTGTGT